TTTTTTTTTTTTTTTTTTTTTTTTTTAATATCGCGTACGCGATGGCAACAGGCGTGGAATGACGACGTTACGTCGCGTATCCAGTGGACATACTGTCGTACGCGGCAATGAAACTCTCAGGCTTCCCGCCGCATCGTGTCATGGGGCTGGGAACATTTCTGGACAGTTGTAGGCTTCAGTACTTCATCGCGCAGAAGCTTGGAATATCGGCGAGCTCGGTGCAAGCCTCTGTTATTTGCGAGAACGGGCCGACGTCTGGTAACGAGCGTACCTTATTCCTATTAGTTTAATATTAGTTTAGTTGACGTTTGATCGTCACGTTACGTGAAAGAGTGCGTTAAACGTTGACGAGCAGTGCCCATCTGGTCCGCCGTGACGGTCATGGGGATCAAACTGAAGGACATCAACAGAGACATCGGTACTAAATCGGACCCAGAGTCTTGGGGTGAACTGCACGCGAAAGTAATCGAGTCCGATAGAGATCTTATCACGAGGAAGGGATATCGCTGCTGGGGCATTGGTATCTGCGCTGCCGAGGTCGTGGACGCCATCGTGCGAAATACCTGTATCTGCATCACCCTGTCCACCTACTTAAAGGTGACGATACAATCAAAATTTTTTTCACCTCCACTGGTTGATTACTGGTTATTCTCAGGGTTGTCGGCACGGTCTCGAGAAAGATGTCTACATGTCTCTGCCCTGTATAGTTGGCAGAAATGGCGTACAAACGCTTCTTCGTCATCCGTACACGACGGAGGAACAAGAACAGACGGAGAACTCTTGCAGAGCCATTTACGAGACTCAGAAATCGATTCTTCATACTTTGGAATAAATCTGTACAAATCTGTCAACGATTTCGTCGCTCTTCTCGAATTGCCAGAGTTCGAGACACCGAACCGCGACAGTGCGCGACGGGCTTTCGGTGAATCGGCAGAATCTATGGGATCTCTCTCGTCGTTTGTTTTACGAACGTAGTATTTCTTTCTTTTCTTTCTTTTCGTCGGACGACCGATGAATAAGGGAAGCGCTATAAATCCCACGCGCACGCCACTCGGACGATTTCGGCCAATTTGCCGAGATTAATGTAGACCAGGGATAATTAATTGGCGGACGTACGAGGCGGTTAATCGTCCCGCCACCGGCGACCGCTCGTGATAAAACGATCGCTATTACAAACATAAAGAACGTCAGTTTCGAGGCCGCGATGGTCAACGATACGGCAATCTGTTATAAAATTCGCGTTCGCCGATCACGGGCCTTTTGTCTCTGTCAGCGGCGGCATTAGTCAACGTGTTCTCGCGTCGACACTTCTCTGAGAGACGCTATCGTCGAAACTCTCGACATCGATGAAGTCGTTCCCCAAAGGGAGAGAGAGAGAGAGAGAGAGAGAGAGAGAGAGATATTTCCGTGTTCAATGTAACGAATCCGACAACGGTTCCTACTTAGAGCTACGGATGACCAGAAGAAGAAATTTATTCATGGTATTCAGCGAGGCATCGTTGTCCACCGTATAAGCATCGTACGAAATAATCGACGGTGATTCATTACCGCGATTACAGAGTCGAAATTTCGTCGAGCGAGCAACCCGGCTAACTCTCCTCCTCGATGGAAAAAAGCGCGTGAAACAGGGACGGAATCGCGGCGAGGCCGGTACCCGCTGCTTTTAATGGCTGTCGGTTCCCTTTCTCCTCGTTTCTCGATTCGTATTCTCGAAATGATCGGGGGCCAGCCAGAGGCCTATAATGTAAACGCGGCTCGTTGTCGCCGCGATGACCAACCAGCGATTTCTTCGAGGAGCACGGGGACGCACCGCAGCCGGTGATTCATTATCCATGCTAACGAATATTCGTTACGAGAGAGAAAGAGAGGGCACGAGGAGTTTCCTGCGGCTGGAAACCACACCAATAACGACGGGGAGCACGACAACGTCTTCATCTCCGAGGCACCGGCTTCTTCTTAGGCGAAGCCATTTTTCTGTATTATCTCGATGACGCGTCCCCGGTACACATAATTTATATCGAGCCGCGCGATTACTCATCCAATGACACGATTCCGTTTCTCCAAGCTTTCAGCCCCTGCGAATCCCTGTGAATCCCCCTTTTGCCTACGATCCGCAACCGCCGTTATTATTCAGCTTCCTGCCCTGTCCGAACAGTATTGAGCCACGGACCACGTGGCCAGGAAGTAAGTAAGTAAGTTTGGCGACAGGAAAATTCATAATGCTCCGAGAGAGCGTCGGAAGAAGAACGGGCGAAAAAGAAGGAGGATCCCGAGGACATCGTTCACCAGCGAAACACCGCGGTAGGTACTACTAATTATTGCGCTTTTTATTTCGTCCCGACATAATGGGCCGCCGGTTCGAGCAGTTCAACCGCACGGCCGGAGAAGGCGCCCGCTCCTCCACGAGAAAAAGGGACACGTGTAGGTGTAAAAAGGAGGAACGAGCGAGGAACGAACGGCCGCAGGCCGGTGAAATGCGCGCTGTCTGGCTCCTCTCTCGCACAGTGCAATATCCGATGCGTTCGAATCGTTTATGCAAGAGACCACGACACGTACGCACGCACGCACGCACGCACGCACGCATGGCAAATCTCTCGAAGCATTCGGTCGCCGCCGTAAAACCGCCGCGATACACGGCGGAGCGAGGGGCCAGGTCAGTGCTTGATTGAGTTACGATTTAATTAGTCCGCGCGGCCAATCAGTAATTAAGATATCCGCTAATCAACGGACCCGGGAAACCCTCCGGTCCGTTCCCCTTCACCCCTCTCCCCTGACGGCATGCATTAGCTTCTCTCCCTTCTCCCCTTCACGTCTCTAATATGTATTCTCATCTGTCGTTTTTGCCTCCGATTCTTCCGACACTTTTTACTACCTTATCCTTCCTGGTTCCCGGCCTGGCTGCCGAGCCCGTGAATCAATCGACCGAGTCGACTGGTCGCCCGCAGGACTCTACGCGCGTGACTAATCCTCCGAAAAAGAAAGGAACCGAGCCGATAGCTCGGCAAAAAGTCGATAGCACCGGGAAAAGGTAAAGAAGATTTAGCTCTTCTTCTTTGCGGTCATTCGTCCCTCTTCGGATGTTTGGCTCGTCAAACGTAGGTTTGGTTTCGTTAGTTCAGGCTTTGAACACGCGTTTCTGGGGATTCGAAGATTGTTTTTTCTGGGAAAAGTAAACACTTCTCTCTTCTCTCCCCGGAGAGAGGGAATATATTTATTCGATTATATACGAGAAAGCTTGGTTATTTCGCGCATCCGACGTTTAAAGATAAATCACCTTTCTGCTTTATTTATTTTACAAATAAATTTCTCTCGCGCGGTAAAAGAATTCTCCTCTTCACGTTCGTTCCTACGTGTTACGAACTGATTTTTACTCGAACGTGTGTATAAGATGTGTCGCGTCTTGGTGAAAAACACGCAACACCTGGTCCGTGACGTCTCATTTACAAACGTGGAGGAATTAATGAATAAAGTAGACTAGCTTACAACACAGGAACCTAGCCTATATTAATACAAGATTAATTAACTGTCGATGGAGAAGGTTTGAATGGTCAGTTCGGTTTTAACGACCGGTGACACCGTGTTTTAAAGATAGATGTCATTTTAAACAAAGTATGAGCTTTGCGTCCAGGCAAAGCTCGCAGGTAGAAATCAGGGTGAGATTAATCACCTGTTCGGGTTCTTGCTGCAGTCCTCGCTGCACTTGTTACCTCATTAAATCAAATATATGGTGGCTGGGTCGCATTCGGAAATCGGGCCGTAATTCATAATAACTGCGACAGTTATGTACTCCGTGCACGCCCTGTGACAAATATTCTAAATAAACGTTCAATGTTACGGCCTCTCTTTGCGAATCAACGAATCTCCGATACGAGACCGATTTGGGGTTGAATTTCATCTATGCTCGAGAAATAAATTCCTAGAACACGAATACTCCAATGTAGCGAGATAAGAATGTATGTGTTGAAAAATCGTGTCGCAAACATCTCGGAAAAAAAAAATCTTCATAACGACGGCATCTGTCGGCTGCAACGAGAACCAAGGTAAACCGGCTGCCTTCCGAGATGACTTCTTCGAATTCGAAATCGTCGTTTCCTTTCTCCTCGGATTTTTTCAGGCTATGACAACGATCGAATATATCGCTAGTGATCTCGAAATTTTCAAATATCGAATTAGAGCGCGAAAATTCGACGAAAACTCAGGCAACGAACGTTCCCGTCGTATCAGTCTGGCGTGCGTGAGATAGCGTTGATTGTAATTAATAGCCGACCATTGCGTTAGCCCTGCAATTCGGTTAATTGTCGGGAGAAGATTAATGGCACGAAATCACGCCAATACCGGCCGATTGTCCGAAACCGATCCCTGTCCGGACCTGTGCTCTTGCGTTTCGGGGCGCGACAGCGAAACTCGTTTCTCGCGACACTTCCGTCCGCGTGATAAAGCCGAACGAGCGCGGAAAATTATTCGCGACCGGTTGTTGTTGGCCACGATATTTTTCATCGGCTCCTCTATCGCGAAATTAATTAAGATTTATTAGAACGGACTTTCCGTATCGTGTCGAATAAGTTTGTTAAATAGTTCGCACCTGCCACGGAAGAAAAGTTGCGACACAACACG